TGTATTGGACCCTAAGGATGGTAGATTAATGGAGTTCTAGAGAGGTCCATTAGTATTATAAATGCAAATGGATGACTATGCAGCGTCCTTCCATTCCTTCCTCCTAGGCTGTGCTCCTGTGTCTGCTGGATTTGTTCCCCATCCTGGAGAAAACCCTGCACTGGAAGGAGATGGAGCTCGACCTACCACCCATTGCGACGAGGTCCTGCAGCTGATCCTGACCCACATGAGGCCAGAGCACCGCCTTCTTTTACGCAGGGACCTATGCAAGAAACCTGCCGGCTTTTGTGAAGAGGTGAGTCCTTGGGTTTTTATTATTATTTTATAGAGACAGGGATCTTGCTATGTTGCTTGAGCTGGTCTCCGAGCTCCTGGCCTCAAGCAGTCCTCCCACCTCAGCCTCAAAGTGCTGGGATTACAGGCATGAGCCCATGCACTGGCGTCATATTTTTTCTCTTTCATCTTTAGGTTGGGGATCCTAACTGTTCGGCACTTGAAGCGGCTGGGAGAGTCATCATTGGTTATCTGGAGGTTTATGATGGACCTGAGGAGGAAGGCTAGATTGGAAGATATTGGAAACCCTAAAACTTCTCATTGCAACATACTTGGCCCAGGTAATAGCAGCCTTAAGGTGCAAAATTCAGGATATATATAAAAATAGTAAAAGAATACTAATGTAGGATATACTTGTTTGGAAATCATTCCAACTCTGGGTTGAGGTAGGTGTCAAGAACTGGAACCCAAACTGTTGAGTCAGCAGAAGCATCTCTTGGATAGCTGAAAGTTGAATTGAGCCAGAGAATCCAGTGCCCCAACAACATATAGTATCTATTCTGGACCATATTCTCTCACTTCCTTATAAATGTGCAAGGAATCCAGAGTAACATTCCCCCATGACAACCTTTCCCTTAGTCATATTGGTAACTAGGTTGCATTTGTTTACTATCTTTGTCCCTACTGAATTATAAACTCCAGGATAACGGAAAACCACATCTATTATGTTCTCTCAAAGTATGCTCAGTACCTGGTATTAGGTATACAAATATTTGAAGAATGAATGAACTGGAAGATAATGAATCAATGGATGAATAAAGTTGAATCAGATTGTCAGGTCTTTAAAGAGCAGAGACTAAGATTCCAAGAAGGGAGAGTGAATTAAATGCAGGGAGGTAGAAAAGGAATATGGGTATGAGGGGGTAGAGCATGGGAAATGGAAAATAGAGCCATTTATAAGTTGAATAACAGATGGAGGGCTGAGAGGCACCCAAACCATAGGAAAATGAGGAGTATCTAGATAAAGAGGTGAACACTTTTTTCTCCCAGTCATGCATCTGTCCATAAATATGATTTATTGTACATTTCACATTGTAAGTTAAATTATTTTCCACCTTTCATTAAGGTTTTTTTAGGGTTTTTTTTAATTGTGGTAAAAATACATACACATTTTACATTTTAAAGTGTACAGTTCAGTGGTATTAAGTACAGTCACAATATTGTGCAATCACTAGCATCATCCATTTCCAGAACTTTACCAAGGCGATAGTAGAAAGGTTTATAGTTTAGAAAGGTTAATAGTTACAAGTATGTAGGCTGGATTTCACTGATGAGCTAGGATCTGAAATTAAATGACAGAAAATTCAACTTGACACTAAGTCCCAGAAGCCAAGCTCATTTCCCCTACTCTGTCTTCAACTTGCAGGCCTAAGATGGCATTAAAGTTAAAGGATTGAGAGCTCTCCCCAAGCATAGTTCAGTTAATAGAGTTGAAAAATAAAAGTATAGGCCCTTGATTAGGGGAGATCCTGGTTTCCCCTTCTCAGCCCATGAAGGAGCTGTTGCTTACAGTAGAACCAAGCTTCTGGAAGGAGAGAGCAGTGTAGCAGAGGGGGGGTGTGTGTGTGTGTGTGTGTGTGTGCTAATAGGAGACTTGAGGGTAAGCCTTTGTGTGTGTGTGTGCGCAGTATGCTAATAGGAGACTTGAGGGTAAGAAATTTAGAGGCTGTCTTTGGTTCTGTTTTTAGGTTTTTTTCATTTAACTTTGACTCAAGTTCCTTAATTTATGAAATGAGGGTTTTCCACTTGACAGTCTTTGAAGTCTCTTCCAATTTTAATATCTAGCTTTACAGTAAGCACATAGCTTTTCTTTTTGGTTCCAGAGTTTCCTGCAGACTTGTGGTCTTACTGAAGGCTCTCTTGAAACTGATCTGTGATGTAGCAAGGGATCCAAACCTTACACCTGAGTCTGTTAAGAGTGCCCTGCTACAGGAGGCCACAGACTGCCTCATTCTCCTGGACCACTGCTCTCAAGGACGGGTAAAGGTAAGGCAGACTGAAACTTGGTTTCAGTTGGGCCTCATTATCTTTATGTAATTCCTATGACTGATTGTAATTTACCATGTATGTGCCTGACCAAGTCTGGAAATGAAGGGTTTTAGGTCTCCATATGAGCCCTCTAGCCTCAAAAGAGCTTGCTCTTTTTTCTTATTCATCTTTTAAAGCTATTCAGAACCATTTAGAACTAAAAGCAGGAGGATCAGCACATGTCACCAGGGCTAAGGACAAGACAGAATGGGCAAAAGCATTGTGATCAAAAGTTTGTAAAATTTAACTTCTGTTCTAGTCTTCTGAATTAAAAAAAAAAAAAAAAAAAAGTAAAAATAATGGGCTATAAGCTCCCAGGAATAATACAAATAGAGCATTTCAGATGTTTCCAGTTTTTTAGGGACAACCACCGTTTAGGTAGATGTTTTTCCCTATTTTTTTTTTTTTGAGACGGAGTCTTGCTCTGTCCCCCAGGCTGGAGTGCAGTGGCACGATCTTGGCTCACTGCAAGCTCCGCCTCCCAGGTTCACGCCATTCTCCTGCCTCAGCCTCCTGAGTAGCTGGGACTACATGTGCCCGCCACCGCGCCCGGCTAATTTTTTGTATTTTTAGTAGACACGGGGTTTCACCGTGGTCTCCATCTCCTGTCCTTGCGATCCGCCCGCCTCAGCCTCCCAAAGTGCTGGGATTACAGGCGTGAGCCACCACACCCGGTCCCTAATCTTAATTTATCTACATGGAAATTCTTCCTTTGGTTTCATATTCCACAAAAGTTAACTTCTCAAAGCCACAGCATATAATAGCTGTGTACTTCTATGTATCTAATAAACGATTGCCTCATTTCTTACCCCTTTTAGAAATCTTTAGTTGAAAGACTGAAGGTAGTATGAAAATAAATTCATGCCATAACTCACTGGACAATCTACCCAGCAGGAAAAAAAAAATTCATATCCTAAAAATATGTAGAGATGGTATGAATTGTTATTTTACCAGTTTATTCAAACTATTTCATCTTCACTCTTTAATCTTGGGCATTTTCAAGCCCTAGATTCAATTTAATTTGCCTTGGCTGGAATTCTGCTGTTTCATGAGCCAGCAGGAGATTTCCAAGCAGATTAATAAAGTTTTTAAAGTAACACCTTCAATACATAAGAGCTACATAAATTTAAAAATAGTAATAAAAAAAAACTAATACCTATGCTGTTTTGTGACCTGTTCCCAAGTGTCATCCATTCTTTTCTCCTTTGAATATGATACCAAGGAAGAAGAATCAAGCAAAAGGGGAAAAAAGTGATTAAAAAAAAAAAATCAAAGCCTGTTTGGTTTCATGTTTCAGGGTCTCCTGGCCAAAATTCCCCAAAGCTGTGAAGACAGAAAGGTGGTGAACTGTATCAGAAAAGTGCAGCAGGTTTCTGAAGGCGCTTCCTACGATGGAACTTAAGACTTGCATTACTTTCCCAAGAGGAAAGGATTTTCTTCCCATCCCAATTTGTATGAATGGAGTTATTTAAGAAAAAAAAATACTTTTACACGAAACTTTGGAAGTGAGAGCTGCTTTTTCCTTCTTTCTTTCCTTTTACCTCCATAGGAGTAGGGAAAGTAGAACAAGAAAAAAATTGAACTCCTTCCATTTCTAAATAAAGTTTGGGAGAAAAAAGGACACCAAGGAATGTAGCATTTAAAATTTAGAAATATTTACATCCGTCATCTCATCCCAGATCCAAGAACTCATCTGTTAAGTTTCTCGGGCACAAGCTGTTACTTCAACACATATGCTATAAAAATACTCTTGTTCACAACTTAGCTTTCTTCACTCACTCCAGATTTCTTGCCCCACTGACGTGGCATAAATAATAAAAACACAAATATTGTGTTCAACACAACACAAAAGAGCAAAAACTGGAGGTGTGTATGTGTTTTTTTTTTTTTTTTTAAAAAGAAACAGTTCTGCATGTTCAGTCCTGGGTATAAATGTTGAAAAGGAAATCACGTGGTTTTGGCCTTGGCCATGGACTCTGTCTCCTGCTCATATTCTATTTCCACATAGGCTCGTTTTCTCCGCAGTGGTCCTCTCAAGGGCATTTTGCCTTTGTGTTTTGCACTAAGGGCCTTTTCTTCCTCCTCCTCACTGGAGGATTTACCATCCTGATCTTCATCACTGCTGGCATCCAGTTTATCCATATCCTAATATGGAGAGAAAAGATAAAGGAGGAGGGAAAACACTAGATTTCTCCCAACTCCCTTCATTGTCCCCTCTATTTAGAATAGACTAGGGAATTGATTTGTCTATGTCTATGTTCAGTAATTGTCCCGTTTCTTTCTTTTTTTTTTTTTAAGATAGGGTCTTGCTCTGTTGCCCAAGCAGGAGTGCAGTGGCATAGTTATGGCTCACTGCAGCCTCAAACTGCTGTAGTCAGGCAATCCTCCCACCTCAGCTTCCTGAGTAGCTGGTACTACAGGAACCGCCCCACATCCAGCTGAATTTTTTTTTTTTTTTTGAGACAGAGTCTCGCTCTGTTGCCCAGGCTGGAGTGTAGTGATGCAATCTCAGCTCACTGCAACCTTCACCTTCTAAGTTCAAGCAATTCTTCTGCCTCAGCCTCCCAGTTAGCTGGGATTACAGGCATACGCCACCATGCCTAGCTAATTTTTGTATTTTTAGTAGACACTGGGTTTTGCCATGTTGGCCAGGCTGGTCTCGAACTCCTGACCTCACATGATTTGCCCGCCTCAAGGTGATCAGCCCACCTCGGCCTCCCAAAGTGCTGGGATTACAGGCATGAGCCACCGCACCTGGCCAATGATTTTTAAAAATGTTTAGGCCAGGCACAGTGGCTCATGCCTATAATCTTAGCACTTTAGGAGACTGAGGCAGGCAGCTTACCTGAGGTCTGGAGTTATAGACCAGCCTGACCAGCATGGTGAAACCCTATCTCTATTAAAAATACAAAAAATAGGCTGGGCGCGGTGGCTCAAGCCTGTAATCCCAGCACTTTGGGAGGCCGAGACGGGCGGATCACGAGGTCAGGGGATCGAGACCATCCTGGCTAACACGGTGAAACCCCCTCTCTACTAAAAAATACAAAAAACTAGCCGGGCGAGGTGGTGGGCACCTGTAGTCCCAGCTACTCGGGAGGCTGAGGCAGGAGAATGGCGTAAACCCGGGAGGCGGAGCTTGCAGTGAGCAGAGATCGGGCCACTGCATTCCAGCCTGGGTGACAGACCGAGACTCCGTCTCAAAAAAAAAAAAAAAAAAAAAAAAATTAGCCAGGGGGAATGGCACATGCCTGTAATTCCAGCTACTTGGGAGGTTGAGGGAGGAGAATTGCTTGAACCCGGGAGGCTGAGGTTGCAGTGAGCCCAGATCGCTCCATGGCATCCTTAGAGATGAGGTCTCACTATGTTGCTCAGGCTGCTCTTTAACTCCTGAGCTCAAGCAGTCCTCCCATTGTGGCCTCCCAAAGTACCAGGATTATAGGAGTGAACCACTGTGCCTGGCCACCTCCCTGTTTTTTTTGCTGCAGGCCAAAGGACAATCTTTTTACCCATAAAGCTCACCTCAAAATCACTTATGTCACTCTCATCTACCTCATCATCTTCGACAAATTCTCTTTTCCCCACATCCTATAAATAAAATGTAACTGTTAGGTTCAGAATATATAATGAAGATTCAGATAAGACATCTAAGTAAGTACAAAATAACATAATCAGAACCACAGTCTATTCACTAGGCAACCAAAATTTAGTTCTTCCTAAGTTTAATGCTTCCGAATTTTAAAAATTTTAGGGCTACCAGATCATTCTTATTCTTGATTTACATTATTAGCAATAAAACATCCTCATTATGGTTAAAAACTAGATACAGACAGGAAAGGCTTTATAATTTGTCACCTTGCAGGAACAATTTTACAAGACCAATAAATTAAGACTAAAACTGTTAATGGTTTGTTGGTTAGCCTGAAGAACAGAGCAACCAGTGCTAAACCAAAATTAATCACGTGAAAGAAAAAAGAAGACATATCATTTTTGGTTGGTGGACTAAAGATGATATTCTGTTTGTCAGTTATATACAAATAGTATCTAGTAGGTTTGGCAAAACAAAAACAAGACTTACTTCCTCCTCATCATCATCATCATCTTTTTCCTCAGCATCTGAAGAGTCACTCTCTGCCTCCTGTTGTTCCAGGGCCTTGTCGAAGGCATGAATGGGGAAGTTGTAGATGTCGCCATACTGAAGAACATAAACACAGATTGGCTTTAACTACATTTGGATATTACACTTGAAGTTCCACTGTCTGTGGAGAATATTATTTTTTCCTCAGTGATTAAATCAGAATACTTAATTTGATGAGTAATATTTTTAAGTGTAAAGCCAGCAGTGTCTTAAAAAAGCATGTTCTTTTGAACATTTAAATCATCTGTAGTTAGTATCAAATAGGTAACTTCTATGGAGTTACATTTTAAAATCATTTAAAATGTAATCGTCTATCAAACCCATGCATTGGGACAAATGTAATTTGCTGACAAGGGGAAATAATAAGGACAAAGCATACTTTAGTCATGTTGTCTGTATAAACACTAATTTTTAAAAAGAGAATAAAAACTTATTTCAAAGAGCCTTAAAAGACTAGGGTAATATGTAAGAGAAGCAAAACCCCATGGCTTTTGTACAGAAATCCAGAATCGTCGTCTTGGCGAATGGAGTTGAGAATAATGGCAAAAAGGGAAAGGTCTCTTACAGTGAATGGAGTATCAAGGGTAACCAAAGCATTTTATGTGCTTGCATTAATTAAAACAAGGAAGCCAGGCCGATATGGATTTATTTTATTCCAGGGATAAAATTCGAGTGGAGATCTTCATATCAGGTTAAAAAACATTTCCCAGCCAGGTGCGGTGGCTCAGGAGTTCAAGACCAGCCTGGCCAAGATGGTGAAACCCCGTCTCTACTAAAAATACAAAAATTAGCTGGGCGTGGTGGCAGTGCCTGTAATCCCAGCTACTCGGGAGGCTGAGGCAGGAGAACTGAACTCCGGAGGCAGAGGTTTGAAGTGAGCCGAGATTGTGCCACTGCACTCTAACCTGGGCGACAAAGCAAGACTCCATCTCAAAAAAAAAACCCAAAAAACCCTACGTGTCTTCGCAACATACTACCACTTAAAATTTCAGTACCCCAAAGCTAATGGCTTTCTCACCGTATCCTGTTTCAGTCTCTCCAGTAATTCCTTCTCAATGGCATTGTCCAGCTGAGCAGCTATTAATGCCTTTTCCTATAAGGGGGAAAGAGCAAATCCATTTAATTCATCAGTGCTCATTATTCATCTTATAAAAATGGAAGAAACTACGAAGTTGTTTATAAGAAAGACAATGTAATCATTTCCCCTCCTTGCTATTACTGGCTTTTGCCTCTCCAACCAGATAAATTTCTTTTTCTTTCTCTTGTAAACTTTCTTCAGGACATTTCCATTTTGAAATTCCTATGGTTTTGTAAACAACATTCTAAATTAAATTCTAACAAAGCCTTTGACGGATACAAAACATGTAGGTCTATATACATTTAAGTGTCTCAGAAATAATCTAGCAACTCTGGAGCCAGACTTTGTAAAAGCTGAGAAAAGAAAACAGAAATCTTCATTCATTTACATTTTCTAAAATCATGTTAGATTCCATGTGACAGAATAGGTAAAAATCTTTTCCTCCAGTTTTCTCTCATTGGAGATGATACATGACATCAACCTGTACTACCGCACAGTAGCCTAGGATGGTGCATTAATTTGACAGTAAAAGTCACAGAGGGTTTTAAAGTGTTATACCTATAAGTTATGTTAGAATGATTACCTAAAACTGTGTAGGGGCACATGGATCAGTTAAAAGGCTACAGTGATGTTCCGTGTTGTTCTCTAGAGTGGGGTGCTTACACTTCAAGGGTATCCGATGAAGTGTAGGAAGAAAATATTCAAAACTTCCACGTTATCTTTTTCCTTAAAAAAATTAAACAGCATTACTACTTTTCTTGTACACTGGCATCTGTGCCTTGACTCTGTCTATAAAGTAAATAGTTGTGTGTCAGATACAGTGAGCCAGATATCTCAAGGGAGGAATACTGCACATAGGGCTTGTAAGTGGTGGTCTCAGTCCTTTATTTAGACGACTATTTAACTGTTTATGTTTGCTTAGTTAAGTGGATTCACAGATTACACTGAATATTCTGCCAAAAATAGAGAGTAGTTATAAAAGTATGCTGGTTATCTAATGGGTTAGTGCTTTTAAAAGTTGTAGAACCAGGCTGGCAAGGTGACCCACGCCTGTAATCCTAGCACTTTGAGAGGCCAAGGTGGACAGATCACCTGAGGTCAGGAGATCAAGACCAGCTTGGCCAATGTGGTGAAACCCCGTCTCTACTAAAAACACAAAAAATTGGCCGGGCAGAGTGGCATATGCCTGTAATCCCAGTTACTCAGGAGGCTGAGGCACAAGAATTGCTTGAACCCAGGAGGTTTAGGTTGCGGTGAGCCAAGATAGCGCCACTGCACTCCAGCCTGGGTGACAGAGTGAGAGTTGTAGAACCTAAAAATGATCCATGCATTTTTCACGAAAAGAAAAATATTCCAAATTTGCCAATCTTTTTATGTAACCCAGTGGAAGTTTTTAAAAATAAATACACTTAATCTGTTTCTTCCAGACAAAGGCAACATTTTAATAGTTTGAGGAAGACAATTGTTTTTTGGAAAAAAACTTGTTCTGTGAACATTGTGAAAAGTGATTGTATCTATATATGGCACTGCTGAAAACATGTCTCCTATAAAAACTGCAATCACACACTTTAGAAATGTGGAAACAATATTGTAATCCATTTAAAACTCTTCCAAATCTACATTTTTCAGAGGGTTTCTATTTTCACTTAATTGGTGAAAACAGAAAAAATTAATTT